ACCATCCAGAATGTCCAGGAGTCAACATGTTTCTTGTGCTACTCTGAACTAGAGGTTGCAACACTTGCTGTCAGGATTGAAGCAGTACCTGACGTTAGTGGAGGACGAAGAAACAGCATCCGAAGAGAACCGCATTTCCGATATGTTCAAGATGCGAGATGGAGAAACTAGCAGCGAAGCCGGCGACAACAATGACGACGAGGAAAGCTACCCTTCCAAAACGAAAGGGAAGAAGGACCCCGCCAACACGTACACCTTGTCCATTTTTTCTCGTATATAATCGAATGGTCAAATTTCCTTGGTCTGCGGCATGCAGGATGCCAAGAAGAGCAACAAATCATCCAAAGGGTCTCTGCGCACCAAGCGAAACAAGAAGAAGAAGTCCCCACCAAAGAAGGGGAATGATGAAGGTGATGATCATGAGTCCAAAGAAAAAAGCAAGGATGGACTGAAAGGTGCTAAGAAGGTGCGTTGGTATTTCCTGTTTATCACACAACAGGGTTCCCCTGAAACCATCTGATTTCCAGGTCTTGAACGATATGAACCGGAAGATTCAGCAAGCCAACCTGCAGCGCGCGAATGCGGCAAAGTGGCCACTTGCTTGAAAATGTTTGGGTTTTAGTTGATGTCAACCATCTCACGCCTCAGGTCCCCTAACCTGAGATCCGCCCTGGAGAAAGACATCGACAACTCTGTTGCCCGCCTTGGCAAGTGCCGAGGGCTCATCCAGGATGCCTTGGACCGTGGTGCCGAGGACACACCAAAGTTTTGCAGCGAGTCATTCCCCTACATGTGTTTTGCAGGAAGAAGAGCTCAAGAAATTGAATGAGCAGGTAGTTCAAGAGATTCGTCATTTTGATGAGTCGATGGAGCCTGTAATCGGCAAGAAGAAGCGGCCCTCAGGCGGTGCCTAGTTTTCACTGCTTTGGGGCATGGCAAGAAACACGTGTGGCATGACTATAGTTTTGGCCCTTGGTATCATGTGCATAAACCCCAGTTCCAAATGTGGCATATTCGGCCAAGCCCTGTTTGCTTTTAGATCTTGTGGCTGCCCATTAGACGGGCTGTGATAAACACGGCTTCGACGGGTATCGATAATTAGTTGCCAATCTACACGTGTCACGATGCAGAGTCATCACCTGGGGACCGAGAAAAAGAACCATGGCGCACTTGCATGATGGAGCCCTTGTTGCTGAAGTTCACTTGGACTACTTTCGAGGGTGCCCTCTTATCGCCCGCAGGTGCTAGGTATTTGGCCATCGATGAACGAGATGGGCGACAACATCAGGTTGGAGACATGTTGGATCGACTCGCCAAAGGAGCCCAGCCCTGAGAAATTTTCAGCCCTGCCCCTCGATAATAATGTAAAGTGAACCCAGGCACCCATTGCAGACGCCATGCGGGATGCTAACTCCTGCCTGAAGGCAGGTCGCTGTGTTACCCCGAAACATTTCTTATTGTGGCAGGACACTCCCCAAGGGCTTCCTCACACGATTTGCAAGCTGGGTAGCTTCAGCCAGTTCAATCGCGCAAGGGACTTCCGGCGGACACTGAAGCCTCCAGTGGACAGCGGGGGAGAACAACTGTTTGTTTAACAGTTTAGTTTGCAGGGTAAAGGGTATGGTTCCAAAATCCTTTCTGTTAGCAAAACAGTTGAAACCCTGAAGGAGCCAGTTTGGGTGGCAACGCTAGTCAAGGGCAAGTCTGGTGAAGATCACCCTCTTTCCAAACAGATCCCTGTTATCCTTCCCGAACGGCTTCTGCCTTACTTATTTGGTACCTTGCAGCTTCAAGTGCCTCCAGAATCTATCGGAAAGTATTGGGAACACAGCAAGGCAACTGGATGCCCATGGGCCCATGTTTCAGAAGGAGACCACATCCCTCTTGGACTTTATGGGGACGCTGCAAAATATTGCAATGCAACTGGAGAAAAGGTTATAGGATTTTTCATCAACATACCCATTTGGAACCCAAGATCAGCTCGAATGTCTCGGTGGTTGCTGCTTGCGCTGGATGAGAGTACCTGCCTGGGCGACCGGACCCTGCGTCCACTCTTCCGCTCCATCGTTAAGTCGCTGATCCGCTGCTATGATGGATTGGCCTGCAGCATCGACGGCAACCCGCGCCAGCTCAAGTTCGCAGTCACGGAACTGAGAGGAGATTGGGAATGGCATTGCCTTGCGCTGGGCCTGACACGGACCTGGCGGAATTCACTGTTTTGCTGGAGATGCGATGTATCAAAGCAACCTGGCTCTTTGAACCAATACCTGGATTTTGGTGACCGGCCCCAATGGCAAAATACAGAGCTCACCCACTTGCAGTTTTTGAGCAACTGCGTCTCTCACCGAAACGCGAGTGCCTTACCTCAACTCCTAGCTAGTATCAAATGTTGAGGGTGCTAGTACTTCATTATGTGCTGCACGTGTCGCAGGCCCACTCTTGCTGCTGCCAAAATTTCACTACGGTTTCCTGAGACATTGTAGCTTACACAATATCAATCTGGGCGTGGCCGGCGGATGCAATGGCAGTTCGCTGAGACCAGGTTTCAATAGTCTTGTCCTCCTATTTATTTTGTTCAAGTGGTTTTTTGTTTGGGGGAAAGGGGGAAGTTTTGCCCCTAGCTAGGATTCTATTGGTTGAGCTGTCCTATTTCGGGAATTTCTCGGAGTTGTCCATGAACCAGTGCCTCAAGATTGCATACAAAGATTTCAAAGCGTGGTGCCGAAAGGAGAAGGTGCACAGCAGCCAACCATTATTCAATGACAAGAAGGTGCCCTGTTCTTGAAGAAATGTTATGGTTGGGGCTTCTCATTGAATTCGGGTTCGTTTCAAAGCCCTGCAGGTTGGAATTCTGCCCACTGCTGGGGCTCACTTTGCCGCCAAGGGGTTCAACACCCGGGTTTTGATTGCCTGGTTGAGTGACTGCCTCAACATGGCAGTCACCCATACTGTGCTTGCTGACCGCTTTTGCGGAGACTGGCTGGGGATGGAAATTGCCCGGGATGCCCGCGAATGGCCCCAGCATGACCTTCTCGTGCCTTCCTGTGTTGCAATGAACCTTGGAAAGCCTTAAGCTTGGAACAGTTGGAAAACACATGTCTCGCCCATGCCCTGGCCTCAGCCAAGGAGCGAGCTGGCCTCTTGCATGTACGCCGCAGAGCAAGCGCCCAGATACCTGCAACTTGGACTTGAACAAAAAGTGGCTGAGATTGTGGATGAGATTGGGGGGTCTTTCGCCCAGGTCGGCTGAGCAAGCTCAGCAGATTCATGGGCACGGGATGCGCTTTCTCAGAGTGCACAAGGAATGCACCCGAATCTCTCAGAGGCATTTGGTGGAAGGGGGCTTCTCTGTTTTATTTATGGATGGGGGGTTGGGGTGGCTTATATAACCCAATCTGCCTGGCAGGTTGGGGATGTGCTTCTGGATTTGTCGACCCAAGCTCCATGCGGCTTGGGCAGCATTCCACAGTTTGAACTGTGATCAAGGTCTTTCGAATCATGGTTGCCCCTAGGCTTGGCACCACCAAATGGTGGACTGTTTGGGGCGCAGAGCCTTGTCTGAATCGAAACACAATTGCCACGTTGTTCGCATTGTTTGCGGGGGCTGACAGGACTTAATTTTCGTCATGAACATACCTATTTGGACGAGGATCAAATGAAGTGGCTCAAGCGCATCTTGGACAAAATTAGGAAACAAACCAGCCAGTGTTATCATGCAACAACTTCCTTGGCAAGCTGACTCAGCTAAGATGTCGTTCAAATCTCTGATCGGCGAAACCTGGAGCGCTCTGTCATTCGATCTTCCCAGTTCAGGTGGGTTGCAGGCAAACACAAATGTCAAAATGTGATTCCCTGACCCCAGGCTCTTGGCCATGCGACGTCATATGCGCCGACTCAATGAGAACAGCGCGCGGTAAAACGAGCCGGGGCGCACTTGATGAAGCCGCAGATGGCTTTTGCTGCTGCGGATGCGCTGCTGCGTGGTGCTGTGAGTGACCAAACCCCCCAAGAAGTGGAACCCTAAGGATTGCTTGATTTTGGCAAAATCGGCCCATAGGTTTTTTGAGGCCTTTCATAGAACGGCCTAGTTAAACTTGGCCTTTAGAAGGCCTGGGATATAAAAATACGTGTGTGTATATATATATATATGTATATATATATTTGTACACCTTTATATATATAACAAATATGTATATGCATACCATATATATATATATATATATATACATATATTTACACATGTTTGTGTTTTTATCCGCCTCTTTGCGGAGTCTGGTTCCTAGAAATCCATATATTCCCTTCGAGGGCTGGTTTTAGAGCCTGTGAGAAAGGCTTTGGGTGATGTTGAAAGGCGAAATGTAAGGTTTGCAGCCTGAAACCATAGCTTCGGTCGAAACGTCCCGATTTGTCCATGGTCTATTTGGGGACATGGCTAGATGTCCAAGGTCAGACAGCCTCCCCCCCAAAAGAATGAGATCTGCGAAAGTGGAGGAGGCGTCGGTGCGGGCGCCCTGGTAGATCGCTGCAAAAGAGGGGGGGTTGCCAGATTTCCAGTTACACCTTTTCCCTGGGCAGACTCGAAACATGGAAGTGGTGGCCTGCGTTTTCCTTTGACTTGCAACTTTTTCAGGGAATGTGAAGCCAAGGTGAGCCACAATCGATTCCCTGGAAAGTGAAGGTTGGTTTGGGGGCAAAGAAGCAGCGAGGCGTAATGAAGGACGGAGGCCACTTTGGCGCTTGAAGTCTTGGGGGTAGCCCAGAGAGCCATGGGCCATGCTTCTGCACTTAGGAACCAGCTGGCAACACCTTGCCTCGTATTTCATGGGTAATTGGACTGATTTCAACTCATACTCCCAGAGCAAAGTCCTTGGGCTTGCGCATGCACACTTCAAAAAAGTCTTATTCACGACTTCAAGACACAGATTTTGACATGCCAACTCGAGGAATATGTTTTTCTGTAGCACCGCTGGTTCGGGTTCTCGTCAGCGAGCGCTGCGCAGGTCACCGTCATCAACTTCACCGTGACGCTTCTGGGCCTTGAGGAGGGGCTTTGAAGCTCGCAAGGCCTAAATTATGTGAGTCACGGGCAATGTGAAGGAGTGAAATCAACAAGTGACCACGAATTTGCTCTGTAGGACGTCCTCATCGTCAATATGCTGATTTGCGTGAACGATTTTCTGGACGCTTTTTGGAGTTAGGCCAAGCTGGGCTCAATTGGTGTTGTTTTGTATTTTTGCCTTTGCGATGCCGTTCAGTGCAAATGGCATTCAGTTTCATGTCCGCGGCAATTGTTAGCAGCTCCTTTTTGACAAGCCACTTGTGTTTTGGCGGTTGCTTATTAATCTTGGTTTGGGGAACACAAAGAACATTATGACCAGCTCTAGTCAAACCTTTCGTGGCAAATTGAACCCAGCACTGGGCATGATTGGCTGTTTGTGAGGCTACATTTTTTGCAGTTGGGTGCGTCTTCAATCAGGGGATCCCCCAACAAAATGTTGTGTTCGTTAAAAAATCTCTCTGGGAGGACCAGCTGGTGGCGGACGTGGTGAAGAACGAGCGCCCGGACCTCGCGGAGCTGCGGGCGAACCTGGTGGTGCAGATCGCCAAGGACAAGGCCAGAGGTGTCTCGAGGGAGGGCCCCAGCTGGGAAACAGACGGCCAACAGGAAGCCACGGAACCCGTTGGTTCTGGGTTTTTGTTTGGTTGGAATCCATGGGAAGCGCAGGAAGCCACAGGTCCGATGGTAGGCTTGTTGGTTGGAATCCATGGGTGTTGGTTTTGGTTTTGGGGCAACCCGATGTAGGGGTTGATTCCTTGTCCATTATTTTCAAGCATCGTTCTTTAAAAAAAACCGGCCGTTTCCCCATTTTTGATGGCCCCAGCTGAGCCACGTGCTCAAAACCGATTCGGGTAGATGATCCGGTTAGTCAGGGGCAGACCCAGCCAGAAATAGCTGCGGAATTCCGCCTTCTCAATTCTGTACATGGTTTTGGGTAGACCGTTTTGATACCAGGCTTTGATTGTGACTCAGCTGGTCTTCGGAAACAGACGGCCAACGGGAAGCCACAGAACCCGTTGGTTCTGGTTTTTTGTTTGGTTGGAAGCCATGCGTTTTGTGGCAAATCGTTTTGTTTTTTCCTCGCAGGGACTTCCGTTGGTAGGCTTGTGCGTTTTTTTGGTTGGAAGCCATGGGTTTTGGGGCAAACCTAGGACTTTATGTTGAGGCTCCGGTGTTAGTAGCTGGAGAGGGGCAAGCAACTGGGCTTCCTAGATCGCGATTCCGAGCCCCGTTCCGTTTGGACAAATTTCAAGCTGGGGTCCCGGAAGATGGTTTCATTGGATTCTCAAGTTACTTGTGGCTCGCGCGGCTTTTCCTTGTCATTTCGAAGGCGTTTCTTAGATACAAAATCGAACCTAGTCCAGCAGCTCTGGCGAAATGTTTGGGGGACTGACACGTGCAGCTGTGGCACCGGTTTTTCTGTCCTGACAGGGCTCCTTGCTTTCCCTCAAGCATTACCACACCAAGAGGCAACTCATCTAAAAATATCAAACTGGTGATGTTTACACCGGCTGAAAGGGGAAATATAGCGGAACCTGCCGCCCCCACGACGAAAACAGGTCCACTGGGTCCACAGCAGGGTTAAGCTGGCTTAAAAGGGAAATATTGGTTTGTCTTTTTCTAGGCTACCCCTCCAAAAACAAAACAACAACCCCCCCCAAAAAAAAACAAAACAAAAAACAAAACAAACTGGTGGCTTTCCTCCAAGCTGTCCTTCAAAGCCACCAAAAAAGGTGTGCCCTCAAAGACCGGGGACCTTGGGCGATGAGTTGCGACTCGAAGGCCGAGATGGACCGACTCGAACAGCTCATACTCAAGCTCTTGAGCGAGGCCTGGGATTCGCTCGGGTTGTCCACTGGTTAAAGGCCAAGGGAAAGCATGTTTTTCCAGTTGCGAAAGAACATGTGCTTTAGTGGTTATTTTCCCCTGTTGGTTGTAAAGGGAGTCTATCACTAATATATATATATATATAATATCCTTCTCATTATTCCAGGGGGCGAATAAGCAAATGGAGGCTGGTTGTCCACGGGTTCGTAAATTTGGGAGGCGTTCAAAAGCCTAAAAGGGAGATCAAAGGGCAAACCACCAGTTTTGGGGGTCACAAACAATCATATCGTGCGTGGTTCCCAAGGATGAATCAACCCCTGGTTGGGGCTGTCCCACTCAGGGGATGTGGATTTGAGGAAGCCGAGTCTCTGATTAATTCACCAGGTTTGCTTAAATCCGGGGTCGAAATCAATACAATTGGGGGGGCAGGCGGGTGGCCACCACATAAATCAGACAGGGTTACTTCCCCCGTCTCCCGCAAATTCGTGGTCGAGAGTGGAAACGCATCCGGGAACTTCCATTTAACCCACAGAAAGTTAAACTTTTAGCGGGGGATCTGAGGACAGCCCAGTTAAAGTCAGATCTTTGGGTTTGCCTCAAACTAGGAACCCCCTAAAATGGTTGGTCCCGAGCAGGGTAGACCAAAATAACATACCCCTTTTGTTCGATCCGAAGTGTCCCATAGATCTTCCTCAAACCCATTGGATGTCGATTTATCTCCCAAGGTTGATCGATCGATCGATGTGTTGATTCGAGGGGATGGAAGACCCCCCAGAAGTCCAAAGTGGTCTTCTTCATGTTTGTGTAAACGCCCGCAGTGAACTCGGGTGAGTAGATGTTGGCATTGCGGGATACGGTTTGATGCTGTAAGTTTGCTAGTGAACCAGCCACCTCCAGCAGCACACATCATGGTCTGGTAAAGCCCTGATTTGATATGGCCAGGGTCAAAAGCCCGTACCCCCAGTGAACATCCCAATCCCCATTAAAATAGAGTGGGCCTGCCCCAAAATGGTACCATTGGTTTTGACCCACAGCCATATCACAGCGTTTCAATTGTTCTCTACTTGAAAGGTTTTTTTCGGCATCCAGGGCATTCTTAGGAGTTTGCTAGGGTCCCTGCTCCAGATTTATTTAGAACCAAAGAGCCGAAGGGCTTTCGGACTAAGCCCCTCCGTGTCCAGAGCCCGTGTTCAATGGGCTCAGCGGGAATTCTGCCCAACCCATGGCTTCCAGGCCATAGGGAACTAGGGGTTCTCACCACTTTTATATGTGTATATGTGAATTTTCTTCTAGTTACCTATAGTGACTTGACTGGGAAGACGTAGGAATAAAATTTGTTTCGATTCGAATTCACCGACAGGCTGGTGCCGATTTGCTCTCGGACGACACCTTGATTGTGACCTTGGATCAGCTGGAGCCTATGACTTGTGAGTCTGGGGTCTGACGCAGCCCAGTGGCAGCGTAGCCCAGTGGATGAATAGCCCAGTGGATCCAGGTACCCCTAAAGCTGAAAGTGAGTAGCTCCAATTTCATTTTGGGCCCTCGAAGGTATTGAGACCCGAAACCTTTTCGGGTATTTTGATGGAGGTGTCTAGGTCTTCCATTGAAAGCCGACGCCAGGAGTGTCCGGGTACCCCAAATCTCCGTACCCAGTGGATCCAGTTGCTCCGATAGTAGGTAGCCAGGGCCGGTCACCATCATGTGAAGACCTGATGCCCAGCCACTCTTGGTAGCTAGGGATTCTTAACATATAGTGGCTTGCCTTGAAGCACTGGGTAATGTCGACCTCGGATTCATATTCCCGTCCGATTGGTAGGCGCGTGTCGATTCCAAAAGCAGTCTAAACCACCCAGAAAAAGGGGACGACATTACAATCATGATCAAAACTCAATGGGTTCTGCTTAATCCGGGGTCAACATTACAATGGACACCGAATCCACAGGGCTCACAAATCGAGGGGGCGGTTGCAACGTGCAGGTCCAAGCTGACCGGCGACAGCTGCAAGGACCCTTCGTTTGATCAGACGGCTCAAAGGCTTGGCTCGCGGCTCGGGTTTGCTTCTCGAAACGGGCTGCCCTTCGCCATGCCTTTTGTTGTCAAATAGATTGTTTTGTTATGTCGGGTTCTGATCATTGCAGGCTGCTTTTCGTTGGACAGATATCCTGCTCAAGTGGTAGGTTGTTGTATCCAACATGCATAGGACGAACCATCTCAACCAGTGTAGGATTCACAGTAGGATCCCCAACCCTACCCCGTAAGAGCCTCCATTTTCCAAAGGCCGTATCAAGGCCATATGTCCGCACTTTGGGGAAACAGATGAAAGAGGAAAGCCTCAAAATTGCCTAAAAGAAAGACACACCTTCCATCCCCATTGGCTGCCAAATGGGCACGAAATAGCCCCTCTAACCATTTGCATTGTTTTGCTCAGACTGTCTAAAGGTTTGATTTCCCTGTTGAAGACCTCCAAATAGGTTTAGAGGGTCGCAAGAGACAGGAGACTCCTGATTTGTCCTGGCGAGAGGGTCAAACAATCAGCTCTGGGTGTCTCCTTGAAAGCCCAACAGCCGGTCAGTAGGTGGTTATCGTCTCTAATTGAGATTATCTTCCTTCTTGTGCTCGCTTCTTGCCCGAAACCTGCCTTTTGATTTTGTAGTTTCCCCTTTTTGCTCTAGTTTTAGTCATGGCCCCAAAGGGGCAACTAAAGAGTTTCATGAGTGAATATACCTTCGTTGAGTTTTAGTGATGAGTTCTCTAACTTCACGAGTCGGATGAATCGATGTGGACTTCTGGCTATTTTGATAACCTTAATTGCTTCATGAAATATCCATTGACGGTTCCATTTTGTTGGTTAATTGCGGTGTGTATGGAGTTGTCCTGCATGCAATCTGAACCAGGGCTCAAAAAAGCCGAGTTAGTTGGAGCGGTCCAAGTGTCGGGGTCCATGGGTCGGGGTGGTTTAGCGGGTTTGTCGGGGGGGGGGGGGGGTTATGGGGCCTCACGAGGTTGTTGTTTGTTTTGCATGTCTAGTTGTTTTGTTTTGGGGGCAGGGGGGGGGGGCGGCGGCGGGGCTTAAGAGGGGTTTAGGATGGTTTAGGAGTTTGGCAGGGGTTTAGGGCACTTTGGCGAGGAACGCATGGCTTCTGCAGAGAAGAGCATGAAGGAGATTGACGAGGCGAACCTCCGTCCCGTCGTTGAATGTTCAGAGGTTGAATACCTTAACTGCAATCTCAGGCATCTTTCCAGTAGCCCAACGATTGGGACAATTGTTGCGACATGGGAGGCTGTCGGTTGACCTTTAGACCATGGCTGACTTTGGAACACGTCAAATATGTCCCAGAACATTTACCACTATGGTGGGGTGGGTTATCAGAGAACACCATGAAGAGCAACATCATGCGGAAGAACCTGGTTAATTGGCTTGCAAGCAAAGGGTGCCCTTTTTCCATGGACATCCACTGGAGGTTTGGGTGCTTCATTGGGGTCATGAAAGGGGATGCCAACCTATCCCTGAATTTTTGCTTGTCTTATCCGGACGCCCTTGAACAAAATGCACTGGCCTGAATGCCGGTCAACCTGGACTTGTCAGGCCAAACAGACTGAATTTCAACAGGGGCCCCCTCCAAAAATAGGGGACACATCCATCCAACGGTGACAGGAGGGTCTTGCAAGACGATTTTCCGTTTGGGGAACCGCCAAAGCATCCACTTCCATGGCAGGCCCCCTGGTCGTTTTATGGGAAGCAGTTCGAACCCTGAGGCATGCCCAGACCCTTTCAGGCATAGGACTCCGATAAAACCCTAGGTGCAGCCTGAGGAAACCAAGCGGCTTAGGGAGGTGGCAAATGGCCCCCGGTTTCGGACCCTGACGTGCTTCGGTGTCAAAATATGGCCCCCTCAAACGAGAAGACCAAAAGGGGGTCTATTGACGCACAGTGCCGAGTGTAGCATGGGCGCTGAGTATGGAGCAAGCATGCAAGCCCCAGACAAAACCTTCTTCAACCGATTCCCATTGCTGTAAAAGAAGGGCAAGCAGTCGGCTAGGACCCATTTAGATGATAATAGAACCCTGAACAGTAAACAATTTTTGACTCCCAGGCAGAGTCCCATGTCCCAACCACGAGTAGGCACGTATGTGTGCGTGGTTTTGTTCATTATTTGCAGGGTTTAGGGGCCTGCCTCTGTCAATACCAGGTTTGGATTCCGACTCCTGTGTGATCCCAAAATTGCTGGCAAGTTTCGATGATCACACAGATGCATGCATTTTTGTGCTGTTGCTATTGTTTAAGTGGGAGCAGCGACAGGAACGTTGCGGATTCCTCATGGGCAGAGGATGTCAAAGAAGGGTGGATTCACAACATGGAGCCAAACCATCTTTCTTTTCTTTTCTTTCTCTCAAAGCAGGGTTGGATGATCAGGCAACCCTCAGTTGGTGGCTTGGATTGGTGGTTGAGTTTAAGCCCCTGGTTCTTGTAGAGGCTAGTGCCATCCAGAACACCTCCAAGCCAAACCAAGTAGAGGGAAGCTGAGGGACAGTTGAAACAGTTCAAACAAGGTGCACCCAGGTTTCAGTTGTTTGTTTGGGGGGGGGTTTGAACCGTATTTGTTTTTCTCGGGGGGTGGTGAAGCGTACCAAGTAAAGAACCGCTGTGAGAAGGGAACCGTTCGACGCGACAGGTGACGGAGGTGCTGAGGCCCTGTGCCACCAGAGCCTCCATCATCTACTTCGTGGCCAGAAGCTCAGTCGAAACCTGGAGTTCGATGCAGGAGGCTTTGGTTGGTGGCTTTGGTTCGAAGCTGGTGATCTGGAAAAGGACCCAATGGATCGAGTTTCTGTGGCTTTGCCGCACACCTGCGTATTTTTAAAGCGGCCAGAGGTGCGAGGGCGTGCCTATGGGCCTGTGGGTTTGCTAGCAGGTCAAGCCCGCAGAAAAGCTTGTCAGAAGCTGTCGGCGACTTTCAGAAAGGGTGTGTCTTTTTGGGGGCTGTTCCCCGTTTTTGTGGTGTGAAAGGAACAACAGAAGGAAGACATTGGACATTCCAACGGGTACTGTTGTTTGATGTTCTTGTAGTTTCTATGTTTGACTTAGTTTACAACCTGTACACCTCCGCAAATTCCCTTAAACGCCGCAGCAGTGAAACACAGCGCAATTCGCTGCACAACTCCCGACAACGCCGCACAGCGTCTGCACAAGTCCGCACCACAGCATCCACACAACATATCTGAATTGCAAAAACACCCGTGAAAAAGTACGCAATCTCCAGGATCACCATTTCCGGGTTCCCCCAAACAAATCGACTCACAGCCCTCTTGAGTCACGGCCAAGGTTGCAGATCTGGCGAACATCGACCCGATGTGCGCCGGGAGAGAGCTTCCAAACTGTGTGCGAATGGTTTTGCTTTTGGTGGCCCCTTGGAACAGGTGTCCGCAAAAGGATGTAGGTGAAGGAGTCGGGAGCCAACTTCGGACAGCCCCTTTAGTTCACCCCAAAAAATAGGGTATCCGCAAAGAGCAGCAAATGTATGTATGCATATATGTGAGGCAAGGACTTGGGAGCCAACATTTGAATCTAACCTATTGTCTTGGTAGCAGGCGAGACACTTCGTTCAGCTTGTATCAGACCTCCCGTTCAGAAGGGCCAAATGGCGGATCTTGGATCCAGAAGTTGAAGCCGAGATCGGAGCATTTGGTTCGGACAGTTCGTTGGGTGCCATCAAGGCAAAGACTTGGGTCGGCTCCTTGGAGCCCGCAGGAGTTTTGTTGGTTTCAGCGAGGAGGACGGATTGGACTGACTCGGCTAGTTGGTTGGGTTCCCTGCAAGCAAGTTCTCAAACCGGCTTATTTGGCCATGGCCGGTGGGCTTGTCTTGCTTTTCACCAGAAGATGTATGTGGGGTTCGAATGGAGAGGGTGGGGTGATGTCTATCACACCTTGAAATGGCAATGGATTCGAAGATTCCCCCTATTTCTGGGGGCTTAGTGGGAATATAACCTTTGTAGGTTAGCAACGGCCTGCCTGGTGCCTTCACTTCGGGGCTTGTCACTTGTCACTTGTCCAAAAACTATGACCTTTGCTGTTGCCATGTTGTTTTTGTTTCGTCTATGTCTGAAAAGCTTAGCCTTTGATTTTCAGGTCCTTTGGATTGCTCGGGCTTTGGACCTCAATGGGGGACTTTGTGATCGCACCTCACATGGATCTGTAACATAGGGGACCCTTTGCGGATTGGAACAGAAACCAAGAGGAAACCAACTGCTGGTCCTAAGTTTCACAAACACCATGACTTGTCTTTGTGACCGAATTGCCCCTTAGGCTGGTTGGAAACTAAATTACTTTTCCGCGAAACCTACAAAGTGCATCGAGCTTTCGCTACGGGGCTTGGAGCAACCCAGAACCCGTCTCTCCCTGATATTGCTTTCGCCGGAGTTTCCCTTTAAACTCAGCCAAACAGATGAGAACCGATTTGTTCTTCTCCATGGACATCTGGGACCCAGCCTTTTGGGGAAACACCCACATGGACATCCACATCTGGAAACGCCACAGGGAAACACCCCATCTTATATTGGGAATCACCCACCTTATCCACCTTGCTTGGGGAATCACCCCCACCTTGTCCACCTTGCTTTGGGAATCACCTTGTTTTGGAAATCCGCAGGGAAACACCCACAGAAAAGTTGCCAGGTACCAGTACAGCCTTCAGTTCTTTGCGAGCCTCTTCCAGCAGCGGCTGGCCACTAGCGAGATGAGTGAGGACCCACAAGAGCACCTCTGGCCGGTTCGGGTCCGAAGTGGTCGGCATTTCCTTTGCCCGGTTGCCCGGTGGCGCCCTTGGTTTTCCCCTCTCTTTTTTGTTGGGAAGAGTTCCGCTTTGAACTCAACCAGCCAAAAAGGATGCCCGATTTGTCTTTTCCCATGGCCGCTGGGCATCTGAGTTTGTGCTGCGTTTTTGGAGGGGGCGCACCCCTTCAAAATCAACCCTCAGCTGCCCAACGCCGACCTTGGGATTTTGGTTTCCTGTTTGGTCGTTGTGTAGTCATGCCCTGCAAGGTTCACCTCTTTACTTCTGCATCCTTTGCGCAACTGAGAGCCACCAAAAAACAGGAATGCCATATGTGTTTCAGGGGCACCAAAATACTTTGTAACTCGAGCAAAGAACATGCCAGGCTTGGAGCAACCCAGAAAAGGTTTCCAGAAAGTGCCCTCACCAGGGTCAAGCAAAAACAACGACCGCAAAAAAAAAGAAACTGGACTCCCCTGTTGTCCCCATGGAAATCCACTGAGATCGGGCTGACGAACCTATACCCACAAACCGGCATGACTGGTTTTCAGTTTTGGAGGCTCAGGGAAACGGAGGAAAGGTAGTCCAAATTGGGGACCCCAAAAAGAAGCACTTTGTGTTTTCGTTCCTCTTTGAGACCAAGCCCGACTTGGTGAAGCTGGCCCGCGCTGCAATGAATGCCAGGCGCATCCACATCATCATCAAGGACGCGGAAATGGTTTGCGGTACGACAATGAAATCCCCAAACCGGGTTGATCCATCACTCTAGTTTCCTTCAAAACTCGAAAATCGTACATTAAAAAAATCGACGCACCCATTTCGGCCCATCCACAGTAAGGGGGTGACGCTTATTCGCGGAATTCGACCCCAATCTTCTTGTGCCTCGCCCGCGACCCCAATTGACCAGCACCTGTAGCCCGTAAGGTCCAAACCGATCCACCTGAAAAGAAGGTGAGGCTTGCCTGGCACTGGGAAGGGCTTGCATTCTCCCAAGGACGCCTTTTTTTGGGGGGTGGGTGGGTGGGGGCAAGGGATGAGGAACAAAGGAGCGGCACATGATGGGTTCACAAGGTGGCTTGGACTCTTGGACCTCTGATTGTAGTGCAAGGGACCAAACAATTACCAGTCGTTGCCTTCTATAATCATGACTAACTCCTAGCTATTAGTTGGCCCTGATAGTAGCCGGTAGCGCCCTTCAACAAGGGCTCGCTGCAAATACGATCCAAACGAAAGCCCGGTGAGCAACACTTCTTTGCTTGGGCTTTGTAGGGGCAACAGGGGATTTTAGACGACCAGGATAATGAGCCCCGTGTGGATGGACCAAATCCACTTCGCACCAGTTTGTGGGTGGTTGATCCCAGTATTCATGTGCCACCTTGTGCGAAGTGGATTTTGTCCGTCCACAGTACGGGGACCGCGGCCAGGCGATGTGTTCTCATGTCACTGGCTGAGGGACATGGTCCTGGCTTGTTTTGGTGGCAAACAACCAGTGGGGTTCCATCAAGAAACCTGGAGGGTGTCTCAAAAGACCGCCGCGCTTCCCCAAGAGAAACGGTCACCTTGAGCCGGGCTGGCAAGAGCTGAGCATGTTTGTAAGCCGAATTTCAAAGAACTTCGCCCTGGCCGCCGTACACTGTTGATGAAGTTCGCCCGGCTGCCGGCAAACAAAGCCTGTCTCGGAGCAATTATGTTTAGCAAGTGCAAATACAAATTCGTCACCCTTGAACTGAATCTATTCTATTCTGGCATTTCCCTCGACTGTGCAGTGGAATTGGTCGAGCGAGCGGCATCCGCGCACAGGACTTTACAGAGTTTATCTACAAGAAGATTTGCATGGGCCTCTTCGAGGACGGATATTACCGTTTCGGCCATGGTGACATGCCTGCAACGAGCTTTCGAGGCTGACTTGTGGTTGATGTCTTAAGGAAATAGGGGTGTTCCTTATCGGAAGGGCTACTTCGCTCCGAGCCTTAAAAGGAAATACAACGGCCTGGGGCCTAGAGATTCCAATTCCGAGGATTTCCTAGGCGTTCTGGTTCTCAAGACCTTGTATGCGTTGTAGGCGTTTTGCTTTGTTTTGCGCTTCTTTGCGGGCGTGTGTCCCTTTTTTGCGGGCATTTTGCGGCAATTTGCGGGTGTTGTTTGTTTCAAGGCGTTTGCGGGAAGTTGTGGGCGTTTGCGTCCAAAACAGGGTCAATGCCGAGAATTACCAGGAATTCCTTGACGTTTGAATCTCCAGGGGATCGCATTTGCGCGGTTTGTTTCCCAGGGCTTCCTCTCCCAGGTTTTTTGTTTGGATTAAAACATCACCTTTTGGGCCCATGCAAAGTGAGCTGTCTTTTAGTGGCAATATGTTTGAGGGGGAAATATAGCTAGCTGTGTTTCGTTCAGTTTCTCTTCGACCAGAAATTCATTCAAGCGAGGGCCCAACCTTGGAGGAAGACGGCCAATGCCCTTCAACTTGTGTGACTGGTTACAGGGGAGAGGCAGATGAGACAAAATCACAGCCCGTGGATTGGTTTGTGACTCAGTAGATCTTTCCAGTTGACACGCCCTTGTTTTGCCCTACAGTGGCGAAGCTTGCTAGGGTTGGTTGAGGGTCTCTTGGCACCCTATGGCTGGCTATGGCATAGGACCTCAGAAGATTGCGCGGCCAGGACCATAAACTTCTCTACGCCTTCATGATCTGCAATCGCTGCTTGCGGCACGAGGCAAGGCCAGTTGTTTTTGTGTATGGACTGGATGCAACCATGTCATCTCCTTGGATGTAAGTTTAGCTTTGGAATTTTCCGTGCTTGGAGATTGCCTTGCTTGGTTTTTTTTGGGGGGAATGAGCCTATTGGGAGGGTTTCCGTAGGTTGGTCTTAGGGGAGTTCTCTTGTTTCTCCGTACACTTGGCGCCTTAGTTTCCGGAGTTCAAAGGTCGCGATAGGGTGAAATGACTGCTGAACACAAGACATGGGCGGTGATTTCCATGAGAAGTCTATGCAAACGCCCAGTCAAGGGCTTGCCTTAGGGACAGACCGCGTGGGAAGCAGCTCTCCTAAGTGCACCTTGTTTTAGGAACCGCCAAAAGTCCCAATCCCGGGTTTACGCCACGTTTGAACAAGTCCCATCCGATTGTGCTCCGTTCAGTGAGTCCCTGGACTTTTAACTGTTTGGTGGGGCCATTCTAGTGGTCCACGCAAATAACCAGTTTGAACCTTTTTTGGCCAACCCACTCGGGAAATGAGTTTTTGGAAATGTCTAACCAATAATAGGTTCACACGTTCAACCCATCGAGCGTGTGGCGGGCATGGCAGGCACATGCCAAGTTCATGGGCAAGCAGCGCATCACTCCAGAGGTGCCTCGACTGGTTTGCACGACGCACCGTTTGGTTGTTCGTTTGGTTGGTTGGTTGGTTGGTTGGTTGGTTGGTTGTTTGGTTGTTCGATTGGTTGGTTGGTTGGTTGGTTGGCTGGTGTGTTTGTGTTTGATTGTGTTTGTTGCGCTTTTGGATGTTTGGGTGATTGTGTATTTCAGTTGTTTGTTGATTTGTTTGCTCGTGTGTTCTTTGTTTGTGTGTGTGTGTGTGTGTGTTTGTTTGTTTGCTTGCTTGCTTGTTTGGTTGGTTGGTTAGTATGGTTTTGTTTGTTTGTTTGTTTGTTTGTTTGTTTGTTTGTTTGTTTGTTTGTTTGTTTGCTTGTTGTGCGTGCATGGGTGTGTGTGTGTGGGTGTCTGCTATTTATTGTTGCTTTGTTTGCTTGCTTGCTTGCTGGCTGGCTTGCTTGCTGGCTTGCTTGCTGGCTTGCCTGTGTGTTTGTTTGCATGTTTGTTTGGTTGGCTGGTTGGTTGTGTGTTTGGTTGGTTGTTTGTCTGTTTGTTTGTTTGTTTGTTTGTTTGCCTGCCTGTCTGTCTGTTTGTCTGCCTGCCTGTTTGCCTGTCTTTCTTTCTTTCTTTTTTTCTTTCTTTCTTTCTTTCTTTACTTATTTCTTTACTTATTTCTTCATTTCTGTATTTCTGTCTGTTGTTTTTTTCGCATTTTTTGTTCTTTGGCTGATTGACTGGCTGGCTGGCTGAGTGGTATGTATGATTGTTTGGCTGTTTGGGTTGGTTGGTTGCTTGTATGTTTGGGTTGGTTGGTGTTTTCTGATGTTGTTTCGTTTTTGTTTTGTTGGTTGGTCGGTTATCCGTCTGTGCGTTGCAGTTTAGTCACAGCTCAACAAGGCTGGGGATCACTATCCCCTTTACCTATCAGGATGAGCTCAAGGCTCTTCAGATCAATGATTGCCCTGGCCTTGTCCCACAAATTGATACTGTCCTTTTGGAGGAGCAATTCGCTGCCCAGCGCCTGTTTTTTAGCCTGTGCAGAATACATATATATATATGTATATATATATATATGTACACTATACGGGTATGATTTTTTTTGTTCCGGACCCTTTGGTGGACATCACTGAGGTGGGGATTTATGTCTAACCAATGGCCATAGTTAATCTTCACTCCCCTCACTTTCCCAAGACCTTCTATCCAAGATATTGCTAGGGTACTGTTGATCCTTCGAAACATGCAGCCAGGGAGCAATCGCAACCGTGCTTATGTCCCTGTAATTGAGATGGTTTGTTGCTGGTTGATTTTGTAAGCACGTCGCCGCTTCTGGTCCCGCAGCCATCATGGACCACCCACTAGACTAGGGGAATCCGCATTACCAAAATGTATATGTTTCGCGTTCAAGGGCATACCTGGTTGTCACGTTCCTTGGTGGCTCCCAGCCATCCCCTTAGGTTTAGTGGCAGTTTTAATCTAACCCACTAAAAGCTAAGCTTTTCGCGGGGGATCTGAGATGCCATCCCAGGGAAGCCACTCTCAAAAAGCCGTGCGGCATATGTTTGTCGCAAATCGCAGCAGCACGGCGGTGAAGTTGTTCCAAGGGGTCGGAGACGGATACATATATACATATATACATATATATATATATATATGTGCAAGCGCACCAGTTGAAACCTTAGTTGGTCTGTCATATATATATATATATATTAATGATATAAGTGCCCGCGCTTTTGAGGAGCCTTTGCTTGCTACACGGCTATCGCAAGAATTCAATGGGCCCTTGCCCATTTGTTTTGGGTGCGTGCATTATGAAATCTGCATTGAATCTCCAGCTCCGTTGTATGCCGGTAACCACCGGTAACCTAAGCTCCTGGTTGGCCTCCAAAAGGTGAACCTCTTATTTCCATATCCGTTGGGTAAAGCATCACAAGGCAGTTGCAACCATGTTTTCATTGAGGCTTTTTGGTTTTCCCTCTCGGTCAGGGCCCAAAAAGGTGATGCCGCAAGTGAGCAAAGGGGCAACCTTGGAAGCCTTCATAAGTGAAGAGCCGGTTGATTAGTAACCCCCGGTTGATGAAGTAGGCTGTCCCATTTTCAAAAGGAATCCAATTCATTGTTTGGGGGGAATTGCACTTCCGATCAACATTTGCCTGGTGCTATCACTGCGGAGGACACAGTTCATTTTGTTTGACGGTTATTGTTTTCCGATGATTGAGGAGTGGAGTTTCTTCCTGCGCGGGGTGGAGGACGGGACGGGTGGACCGTGGTTTTGGTGGCTAAGTTGAAATGCATGCCAGGGTTCAAACCGTTTTACGTCAGGGTTGCTCTTTGGCGACATTCTCGGATGTACCCATGAGTTCCAATTGGGACCGGTGGTTGGTGGACATGATTCCCCAGCCAAATAATGTCGACCAAAGGGTCCCCAAACAACATTCATACCGATGCCAGGGATCAAGGGTGACGTTCGCGTGATAAGAAGTTCCATGCCATGTGATTGTGGCTTAATCCATTCCAAGGTTTAATTTTGCCTCCCTCGATAGACGTGTTGACTCGACAAACATGTTGGTTTCTTGACTGTACCAGTCTAAGTCCAAGACAGTCAGGGAAGTACTAGCGCTCTTTGCCTTCGAAGAGGCACACAATCGGACTTGCGCGGGTTTCAGATTTTATGGAGAACCTTGTGTGTCAGGGTGAATGATTCTGACATAATTGTGGAGGTGTTGTATTGGAGGGGAAGCCCTTTTTATAACTTGAAAAAAATGATGGCGATTCCGGCGATTCCTGGTTGACCGGGTTGTTTCATCTACCAGGACCATTTGTTTTCTCAAAAGGACACCTATGGGTGTGTCTCTTTTAGAGTTGGTACCCCTCTTGTTTGTGGTTTCAGAGAGAGGGAAAGCACAAGGACAACCGACGTTTATGTTGGGCGTCCCCTAAAAGAAGACACACCCGGAAAAAATGACTTACATTCCCATTCCTCACTGTTCAGTGATGGTTTGCCTTCAAGAGCATAATCGGTACTCAAAAGAGACACTATTGTTGGAGGTACTCTTAGTGCCAAAATTATTAGACTAGGATCGTGGGGTCTACAAGTGCTACACTAGGATCGTGGGGTATGTTGAACTCGCAATTTAGTCGTAGCTAGTTTCTTAAGCGAAACATGGGCAAATAGCCAAAAGTGTGTCTTCCAAGGCAGGTTGCATTTACCTCACAGTCAAAAAGTCTCGCGCAAAACGTGGGAACATGAGTGGGTCCCCGAGGTCTTGGTTTCATGGAATGTTCTCCATATCCCAAATGGACCATAGGCATATCAAAAATGGGTCTGTCTCTTTTAGGGGACCCACCAAAATGGCTTCGGTTGTCTGTTTGGTTTCCCCTTAAAGACCACTCCAGAAGAGATTGCCTCTGTCTTTTCTCGGGGGGGGAAAAACACCTTAGAATGGCTTCGGTGGTCCTTTCGGTTTCCCCTTAAAGACCACTCCAATGCAGGTAGCCTCAACAAAGTGACATACAGCGGATGGACAAAATCCTGCACCACTTGGAAACCATGGTTGAAACCATGTTTTCGTCCATCCATACCCAAAACCCGCAGGCCGCCAAGGGCCTGGTGGACGTGCCCAGCGCGGAGGGGCCTGCCTGGCTTGGCGCCGGCTTCCGGCGTCTCGACATCAGAAACGTCCGGCGGCCTTGCTTCCCCCTTCAGCTTTTTTGGACAGAAGAAAGTGAGTTTATCAAATTTGTGCAGGGTTTCAAAAAAAGGAACTTTGGACAGAAACATGGGTATCACATTGCTTTAAGTTGAGTTTCTCAAAGAGTGTGGTGCCCTCCCAACACGATAATCATGGAGCCTGCACACTTGACGACTACCAACCACATGCCAAGACTAAGTCTTTGCTATGGAAATCCACTGGGACATGGGCCATATCCAAGTTTGCCGCAACATGTCAGGGCTCACAACATGTTCCCATTGTTTGTGGGCGACAACTAACATGTTGACCGAGTTGCTGCTAGTTCACCCCTATCATTTGTTGTGGGAATCATGGTTGTGGGTAAGGGCAAATAGTTGCTGATAAAGTGCAAAACAATCGTTGTTTTGCGTATTTTGATTAGGTAGGCAATGTACGGGGCAACATAAATACTAATAGTTCCTCCCTGTAATCATGACCAAACTCCGTTGAGCGAGCCATAGTTGTGGGAAGTTCTGGGTTTGGGCCATTTTCCGTTTTTCAAGGGGGAATTCACTTTAAAGCGACAAAGCAGTCAGAAGGATGGCCGGCATGTGTATCACAGAAAGGTTAATTGCCACGACTGAAGGTGATGGAAGGTAGGGAGCCTTTGCGTTTGGTTGGGTCAGCTCGGTCCTCGAGTGTCTGGACTTTGTACTTTTGAGAATCCATGTGAGTCGAGCCTTAACCTTGGGTTCCACATAGCCGGCGTTTTCCTGAAGGAAAGCTACGGACATGTTTCAGTTTTTCCTCGAGAAACTGAGATGGGATGCGCATTTGGCTTCTCAGCCCCTTCTGAGCCCCATTTTGAAATTCACATTACCCTAAGCATTAGAAAGACCTCAAAACCAGCCAATTTGAGGTCCCAAGACTCTTGGCGTACATATACCATTTGTCTCACTGGCAGAGGACCTCTGAGAAGGTACGGATCAAGGAGCCCTCTGCCATGCTGGAAGGAGGATGTGGTCTTTTGTTGGTTGTGTCTAAATGGAGTTGAAGACTCCCAGCCCCCGAAACCAAGGAGTTCCCCAGACCGACTTTGGATTTCTGATGGCTTTCTTCGGGGTCGGGAATTCAACGCGGAAGAGGAGGGGACCTCACCCAACATGCGCCCGGGTGAAGTTTGCTCAGGAAGATCCAGGTGCTGGAGGAGCTGACGGCCAAATCGGGCAACCAGGCGCAATTTTGTTCTTCTTGTGTTTTGTCAGGTTTGCCTATATGGCTGTGGGTCAACACTAGGTACCCAAAATGGAACCCTTTTACATGGAACCCATGACTGAAACAGGCGGTCCCCTGGTGGTGTAATTTTGACCCACACCCATATTTCCCCTCGTGGGTGATGTTTAAGGAGATGAGGGAGATCTGTTTGTGGTTGGTCGCTTAATCGGTGCCGGGGGGACGGGCAGCTCAGCGCTGTGGCCCAACCCACGGCAACCCGCGAGAGCGATGGAAGGGCAAGCCTTCTGATGGAAGCGACGCTTGGTTCGGTTCTGTTCGGATAGGTTATTCTAAGGTGGGTTGGTTGGTGTGGGCATTAGTGTGTGTATGTGTGCGTATGCGTGTATGCGTGTATATATGTGTTTTTGTGTGTTTGTGTGCTGTGCTGTGTGCTTATTCATGCTGCAAGCATGGTGTGTTGCCCGGCTTGCCGTGGATTGGCTTGATTGTTTCTGTTTGTGCAGTTGTGTGTTGTGTTTTGTTGTGTGTTTGTGGTTTTGCTAGCTTGCTTGCTTGCCTGCTTGCTTGCTTGGTTGGTTGGTTTGTTTGTTAGTTTGTTTGTTTGCTTGTTTGGTTGTGTGTCTGTGTGTATTTGTTTTTGGTTTGTGTGCTTGCTTGCTTGCTTGCTTGCCTGCCTGCCTGCCTGCCTGCCTGCCTGCCTGCCTGCCTGCTTGCTTGCTTGCTTGGTGGATGGGTGGGTGGGTGGGTGGGTGGGTGGGTGGGTGGGTGGGTGGGTGGGTGGGTGGGTGGGTGGGTGGGTGGGTGGGTGGGTGGGTGGGTGGGTGGGTTCGTTTGTGTGTACGGTGTTGCTGTTTTGTTTGGTGTCTGTTTGTGTGTTGGTTTGATTGTTTGATTGCTTGCTTGCTTGCTTGCTTGCTTGCTTAGTTTGCTTAGTTTGCTTAGTTTGCTTAGTTTGCTTAGTTTGCTTAGTTTGCTTTCTTGCTTGCTTGCTTGCTTGTTTGTTTGTTTGTTTGTTTGTTTGTTTGTTTGTTGTTGTTTGTTGGCTTGTTTGTACCCCGTGACTCAGCGACTTATGAGTGAATCAGTGCATTCCAAGTGATGTTTGTGGCACAAACAACCGCCAAACAGATCTCGGCTTTCCACTCAAATGTAGTTCCAGCCTTTCATATAAATGGGCTGTTGACAAGATCGCAAGTCCCCTTGGGCTCGCAACCGAATACCGAAGCGGATCCTAACACGGGCAGAAATCAATTGTTCCTGGTTGCCCGTGTAGCCGGGGGCTCTGACTCTACTTGCTGGTCACGAATTAGCTTGATTGACACGACACTTGGCCAGGGTGCAGTGTCCAAAGGACAACACTGCCCCCTCCCCCGAGGCCATGACATGTTGGCTATGTTGCAGCAGCAAACCCAATCAAATTCCTATAGAAGGTGGTTGTTCTGTTGATCTTGTTGCAGGATTAATGCACGTCTTGTTGATAGGGTGTGTTCCCCTTCTACTTTATTTCAAGGGGAGCACACTACTGTTAAGAGGAGGTTAGGTGTGTGGGCAATACCGACCCCTTTCTGTGTTGCGAAAGTCAGCCATATCCCGCCCCTTTTTGACTGAATCGCAGAAGGTGGCACCTACAAAGCTATGTGTTCGTCATACCTCCAAACAGGATAACTCAATCAGCCACAGCCAGCACACATTGACTTGTGGAATTGTGCTTCATTCCCTACTTGTAATATGTGTGAATCAACCTCCCCCCCCACATTTGTGCGGCATTTTCAATTGGGCTGTACGGAGGTAAGGCGCTTATAGATCACTTATGTAAGGCGTAGATGCACAGCCCATCACCTTTATGAATGGCATGTAACATCCACATGTTTAACCAACCCACCCGAAAATGCCCTTGACCATTCCCCACCGATAGTGCCTACTTAGCTACTCAGGCCTATCGGGTCGAATCTGGAATCGACCCTTGCTAGGCGATCCCTCTGGGGGAGGGGGGGCTTGACAACCATACCATACTGAATGGAGGGTGGCTCACCCCTGAGTTCCTGGACTTTAGTCACTTTTTAGGAAGACCATTTTAGTGGCAGACCAAAAGTTTGGACTGTGTGGATCAAATCCTTGTCCTTGTCCAGGCGTTCAAGGGCTTGGCCAAGGACATGTTCACCACTGCGCCGCTCGGTCTGGGGCAATGGTCTTGCTGGAGGGGCGCCCATGCGAACCGCTTCTCTTGGCATGTTTGTGCTTAGTTTGTTGTTGGTGTGCATATGCTTTGGGCTGCAAAAACATGTTCTCTCATAAAGGATTGGACAGAAACAACCAAATATCAGGCAGTGAGCGGTTTGGCGCCCACTGTGATACCAGGAAGCCTCCCCGGAGAAAGAACTCGTCATCGCGGCATTCCATTGGCAGTGGTCGCAATTCCCAGGATATGCTCAAAGTGGTGTTGTTGTTTTTTTCCCCAACAACAATTTTGCCTCTTGGGACAGGGAAATGCCAACTTGGCATTCAGCATACTCATCCTTTTTGGTGGACAAATGCAGTGGTCCTCCCGATGAGTCCAACAGTAGCTGAGCTCCAAAAGAAGCGCCTGATTAACCCATGAGCAAGCAAACTAAACAGACTCATAGAAACCATCTATATACAGGATTTGTTCTCTGACATTAGAAGTTCTCCCGCACTAAACAATACAAGACTTCCGGTAAAATATGCTGTAGAGCTTAGGCAGACCCGAAGCTGTGGCTTGAAGCGTTCGTGACTTCCCCGGCAAAGGTGGGAGGACTTTGGCACGGACGACAACATGACCAGCCGGGAGCTGCCAGGCGCGTTTGGTTGCAAGTTTGGCCAAGTGACATGTGGGTGGCTCGTCAATTTTAGGAATCGGACCCCTCCAAAATGGCTTCCGCTACGGTTTTCACGTTGGTTTCTTTTCAAGAACGATTAAAAAGAGGGGTAGCCTGAAAAAAGACGAACTCATGTGGGGAAGTCCTGTTTCTACATCCCCCTTGGCTTTGAACCCCCAAGGCCCAGGAGAGGAGCCCTTTTGCTCGCCTAAAGAGGGGGGGCAGTCCAGAACCGGGCGAGCGCCCAACACCGAATTTGCAAAAGGTCATTCTAGTAGGGTCAGGGTTGTGGGATCGCTCGGGGTTTATTCCCACTTCTGTGATACAAGGGAATCTCTCATTTATTTGGCAGGAGAACCCTTTTTTTGTTTCGCAGAAGTGGATTCCGTTTCCCACAACCCTGAGTAGGGTAGACGGTTCTACTTCCTGGGAACATTGGGGTGGGGTAGGAAAGCCTTTTTCTTAGCGGTCAAAACCATTTTACCAACAGTTAGGTGTTGCGCGCAGCTCGGGTGTTGAAGGAGTCTAGCCAAAACCCATGGTAAAGAATCAAATAGGCGGGTAGTTGCGCCTTTTTGTGGTTGGGACTGTGCCGAGATAAGGCCATTGTCTACCCGAAGAGGTTTGGATTCTGGATCGCATAATGGAAGCTGCCCCCAACAAAACCCAAAGCAGAGCAGAGCCCATTGATTTCATTTCCCTGTATAGTAGGTAGCCACATGATCCGCCCGTTAAAAGCTGAAATGCAAAGGAACATGGCTGTCGACAGGTGCAGCAGGCTTTCCAGATTTTCCGGTCTTGGCGGTTCTAAATGTCTCCTTCTGGAAAGGCCCATTGATTAGGCAGTTCCTGGACTTTAGTCACTTTTTGGGAAGACCATTTTAATGACAAACAACAGCTTGGAATTTGGTTGGCCAATCCACTCAGGAAGAGAGTAGGTGAGTGTCTGTTGTGAATGCAACGATTGACTTGGCTCACGTACAAAACGCAGCACGGGACCCTGCGCTTGTGTGCTCGTTTTTTGCGCACGATGTCGCGTTTTGATTTTGCGATGGCAACAGCATGCGCTGGACGCATTGCTGTGAATTCTAGTGATACTGAAAGAACAACTGTTTTGCGTCCTTTGACTTGCCTAGACCAACAGCGCTGGCGCTTAATTTTGAGACAGATCCAGGTCCGTTATTTCCGACCGCCGTGGGATCTTAGCAGAATCTGGCGACCATCTAGCAGGTTCCTGAAGGGTTAGGGCGCAAAATTTGGGGTGTATTGTTGTTGATGTTAAGCAACCCAACTTCAGCCCGGAAGGCAGCTGCAAAGGGATACACCCAGATAGTGTTATCGCGAGAGCTTGTATTTGCCTTCCTTTCAGCTGGTTTGTTGAAAAAGCAGGCCAGAGCCTCGGGAAAACGGAGGAGCTGCAAGTGGTGAGTACCTACCAAGGGGGGTACCCGAGTTTGGCCCTGCCTGCTGCTGGCAGCATATTTGATGGCTTTTCCGATCATAGGGTCCACAAACTGAAACTGTTGCACGAGAGCAGTTGACACCAGTTGCGCCACTTGACCAGACAAACATTGTTTTGACAAATGCAAATCCCACTAAGTCTTGGGTAGTTAAGCGACCCTGTTTGCAGAACAATAGCAGTTTCTCATATGTCCCCCTTTGAATCACGCCCCAAAGGGACATAGAATGAGCAGTGGCAATCAAAAGGTGATGTTCAAAACCACCCACGGAAGCGACATGTCTTTGAACATTATATCGAGCCCAGCAGAGCTCGCTACTTCGTTTTGGAAAATAACCAGGTGAGCGACGAGGGGCCTAGCTTCCATGGAGTCGCAAGAGTTGGCTAGACCAAACATTGGAAAACATGGGGAACATAATTAGGGGAAATGTGAGAACCCATGGGGGTAATATGGGGAACATTGGAGAACGGACCAGATGCTTCGGGAAGTATGGGGATCCCCCTTCGGAATGGCGAGAGTCCGCCGCAGAGTCCATCCGGTTGCTGGACTTGCGGGCCAGGTGAGTGGAAGAATCTCACGGCCTTCCAGCAGTCCTGGCCCAAGTTCTCTTTCGATTCACCAGAGGAATTTCTAAGGGTGGGTGGGTGCGTGGTGGGGTGGGTGGGTGGGTGGGTGTTGGGGTTGGTGGGTTGGTGGGTTGGTGGGTGGGTGGTGGGGTTGGTGGGTGGGTGGGTGGGTGGGTGGGTGGGTGGGTGGGTGGGTGGGTGGGTGGGCGGGTGGGCGGGCGGGCGGGCGGGCGGTCGGGCGGGTGCGTGTGTGTGTGGGTGGGTCGGTGGGTGGGTAAAATAATGACTCAAGGTAGATTTGCTAAGAACACACACACACACACACGATTGTCCGTGGGTCACCTGTGTGTTTGATGATTGCGATTTGTGTCTTAGGTCTGACCTTTTCTCAAAGTGGTGTTTCAACGTAGGCTACTTGCTTTGAGTGCTTCTACGCTTCTTCTGCTTCTTCTGCTTCTTCTTCTTCTTCTTCTTCTTTTCTTTTTTTGTTTGGGGGGAGGGGTTCGATTGTTCCCGCGGTGCTTTCTTCAAAAGGCTATGATGGGACCTGAATCCCCAGCATTTGTTGATGTCTACCAACGGGCGAGTACTATAATGTTCGATTTCGCTGCCAAAGCCGAATTTGGTGTCCCCATCCGCCGGATCGATTGCCTGAGGCTGTTGATCATCAAGCCCGCACCTGAGCTCTTGCAAGGCCAGTCGCTGGATTTTCATGGTCAAAGTTGATACATTTATGAGGATGGTTTTGACCACACGATGAGGCGGGAAGCCCGCGTATACCAGGATAGATCATTTTGGGAGGTTGCTCAATTTACCAGTGGTGTCCATTGAAACTGCCATCTCCAACAAGAAAAACAGAGCAAACCCCACAAAGCACGGCCCATAGCCTCACTGCGCGGGGGCAGCTGACAAGCTAAAACCAGTCAACCAACCAACTAGCCAACCATGGTGAGTTGAGTTTGGGTGTCACAGAAACATAGGCTGTTGAGCCAGAGTCGCCTGTAACATGGCTGGTCGGGTGACTGAATCGCTTTTTGACCCTTTGGAAGCAAATAGCTTTTCCATTAAGCCTTCAAAAGGTAGGACCCTTTGCTCAGAACGAGGAGCCGAGGTAGATGTACCGAGTGCTTATTGTCCAATTTGCTTGCAATTCTAGCAAATCGGCCATATCTTTCAAATTAAGCGCTTCTCCAGGCGGTTGGATTATGTTTCAACTTCCCTGCAAAAAATAATCTACGCCTTGTAGCCTGTGGTAAATGAGTCAGATAGCATTGTTGCAGGTAAAATGATGTTGACCGATACACTATACATGAGGTTTTATTTTCCTGGTCACTACTGTGAAGGGAAACCAGGTCCATGGCGCGCCGGTGTGTTGTGCGCTGCATGGCCGTCCTGCCCTGGAAAACGAGGCAGTCTTGATGCCCTAGAAGTACGCCAGTGCTCTAGGGATTGGGCCCCTGACAACCGTTGCAGAGGGTGGACGTCAGGTTCCGGGGCGTTGCGATGTCACCCAAAGGAAAGGTTTCCTACTTTTTGGAGTCCTTTTCGTGGATTTCACCAAAAGGACCCCCACCACTTTGGGCGGTCTTCCAATTTGTCATGTGCCGCCCCATCTCGGCCCAGATTGATTTTGTGGGATTCGGAGGCGCCAACGTTGAAACCTTGCAGCCTCATATTTGGAGGCCAGGCAGCTTCCAGTGACAGACAAGCATGCTTCCAGTTGCTTTATGTACAACCTGTAAACCTCCCTGGACTTGAAGTACTTGGCAAAAACGGCTTGAGCATGAGAAGCAGGGACTCGATCCTCCAAACCCGAGCCCACACTTTCCTGAAATTGAATGTGAGCTGAGGGCGCTGCGGGAGAACTTCCTTCAGCTGGCGCCAGCCTCAAAGCTTTCTTGGGAGTCGGCCGGCGAATGGAGCTGGAGTGACCGTTTTGGTTTTCCCAAGTGGTCTTCCCAAGAGGACCACCAACTCTCCAGGTCCAAGGTGACAGCCCCCAGCTCCCAAAAATGGGTTGGAGGTCGCAAAGGGTGCTTAAGTTATGTTCAGGTCCTTTGGGTTACTTGGAGAATGGTGGCAGTATTCCCGAAGCGAGGGGGATGAACAGACCAAAATGGAGGAAGTGTACCAAGAAGGGGATCACCTCGGTTTTGGCGGTTCCGTGTCAATCTGTAGACCAAGCCCTGGTGCAGGTGTCCGTCGCATCCAGATCATTTGGGTGCCGCGTTTCGGGGTCTGTACCAAACTGGAGTTTTTAACGACAATATTGATACTGTGGATGGGCAAAACGGCACCAAAGGGGTTCATCCATCCCAACTTCCGCGAAATGGATTTTGTCCATCCACAGTAGGACACACACCCTGGGTGCTAACATACCTCACTTCTCCAGTTAGTGGACTTGTTTTTTTTTTGGGGGGGAAGATCATGTTGTTGGCAACAATGTTTTGAGCTGTCCACTCACGGAAGTGAGTTGAACCAGTTGAACCCACATGAATGCGAAATCGGTGTGTCTTTGGAGTCGGTACTCGTACCCCTTTGCGGGTCCCATTTTGGAGTCTGCTATTTTGAGACAAGCATAAATAATGAATAGGGACGGACCATGCCAAACTCAATTGCGCGTTTTGAATCCTTTTGGGTCCTTTTGACTTTCCTTCATGTTTCCTTTCAGCCTGCGAAATGTGGCTTTTCACACAGCTGCAAACGTGTGGCTGTTTAGCGCTTCCAAAACTAGAAAGCAGGGTTTGTTGACAGGTTTTACACAGGTTCCCCTGACCTATGGCTTGCCTGGAAGCATTGGCCTAACGGAAAACCACAGGCAACCCGAATCGCTTCGCTTCGAATCCGAGGTGGTGCGGAACTTTGTGGGGGCGGAGCTGGGATCGTTGTACACAGTGTCCCCGGATTTCGACCTGCTGGGCTGCTTCAAGGATCGATTGGTAGGCATTTGGTTTGATTGACTTGGTTTGATTGATTTTGTTTTGTTTGGCTTGGTGTTAGGGAGGTAGTGGCTGCTTTCCGTTAGGAATAAACCCCAACAAACCTTAGATTTGTGCGAAGCTATGGGATTTCCCCATCAGCGACAGCCGGGCTTGTCCTGGCTTTGGGCGGCCCTGGGCAAGTTCTGGGATGGTTCGGGTGCACCCACGTGCCGCAAAATGAGTAGTGTCCTTTTGGTTTCCATGTAAACCCCCCCAAGAAAAAAATGCCCTCAAAAGACACACCCATTTTGGATTGCGTTTCAACGGGGAAGTGAGCCGTTCTCCGCTTTGCGAGGACTCGAAGAAGACCATGCCGTTGATCTTCGTGCTGCCAGCGACCCAAATGTTGCGTGCTACTGCATTGGGGTGGGGGGGGAAGGGGGCACGAGGGCGTGGGTGGAGAATTGGGCAGGTTGCTACTTTCCGGTGGCCAAGGATGTGCTCCTTCAAGGTTCAGAGTCATACCCTCAAGGCTTCAGGTCATACCCTGTCCGAAAATCGTGGATTCTGTTTGCCACCTTTATGCTGCGCGACGCCGGAACCGGAACCCTTAAGGGAGGGTGGGATATGTTAGCCTCAGGCCACAACTTTTAAGAGTTGGAATCTCCGAACTCGAATCCCCACCAAATACTGAATGGATCAAAACATGCCCCAGCCGGGAGTGATGATTTTGTCATATTTTGTCCATGAAGTTTTGCTTCAGGTCAGCTGGGGCTGATCCCACTGACTACCTCGTGAAGTTGGCTCGTGACTTCAACTACGAGGCCTTTCCGGGCCGCGGATGTCCGATCGATCGGAGGTGTTTTTTGTTAGCGTCGGTGCCTTGGCCTTTTAAGGCTATGGCTGCTGCAGCAATCTCGCTCACTCTCAAGAGCATTTCCAGGTATGGACTTCGGAGGTATGGATGGATGCTGATTCATATTGGGCTAAAGCGTTAACCGTAGGTGGTCGCTTGTCTTGACTCTTAATAAGTATCCACTTGGGCCACCATTTTGGCTCAAGTGGACCTTTTGATCTTTTGTCTTGTAATTTGAAATCTTTCTTTCCCCTACTCTCAAAGCCATGTACGCCCCCGCCTACGCTGGTGCCGCGGTAGCAGAGGCCAAGGCTAAGGCAAAGGCCTCCATGGCAAAGTACCTGGCGAGCCTCGTGAAGAGGGAGGAAGAAGGATGGACCGTTTTGGCTGCTGAGGTCCCTCAGGCACCTGACGAGCGTTTCTTCTCCAGCGCAGATGAGCTGGAGCAGGCCCCCCTTATCCCGGCCAAGCGCAAGGCAGAGGATGAGCCGATGGAAGATGCAGCCCCTGGGGTGGCGCAGGTGCCGAAGGCCCTGACACGCCCCCCAGGGGCGTTCCTGGAGCTCCTGAACCCGCCGGAGGAGGACGTGCCCATGGAGGAGCTCCTGGCGAAGGACGAGAAGGAGCTGCCGATGCCCAGGTCCCCCTCGGCTGCAGCCCGCTTGGAGGAGGCCCGCCTGGATGCCCGGGCAGACGCCAAGTGGCAGAGGCGCCGGGAGCTGATGGCGAAGGTCAAGGAGCAGGCGTCCTCGGAGGAGGATGAGAACCCCGCAGCCCCCCCGCCGGGGGGGAGCGTGTTCACCAAGGCCCTCAAGGTCTCGGAGGGCCTCTACCAGTTCAGCGACGACCAGATGGCGGGCGACTTCCCTTGCTTCGATGCGACCACGGCCACTAGGCTCCGCCGACTGCAGGCCAAGGACGTCCAGCGGCTCCTGCGAGGCTTTGAGGGCCCCCAACTCAAGCGGGGGGGCCTGGAGCGCGTTGTGGAGGCCTTCTACATCGCCAAGATGAAGTACGAGCATGAGGCCCGGCTCAGCACCCCGGGACAGCAGGTTGGCAAGCGCGCTGGCTTGGGGTACGGGGGCCTGGAGAACCGCCCCCTGGGCAAGGTGCCCACATCCTGGATCTGCCCCTGCTGCACCATGCCCTGGGTGAAGAAGGGCGCCACGAAGTGCATGGGGTGCGGCAAGAAGACGGAGCCCATTGACACGGCGACCAACTCGGCCACCCTGGAGATGGCGGGCACGCATTGGCAGTTGACGGTGGATGACCAGGGCAATGCGGTCTGGACGGCGGCCCGGTCCGCGGGTGCCGAAGGCCCTGACACGGACCGGGCCCGCGACCTCAAGCTCAGTGCCTCGGTGGACGTCAGCGAGCTGGCCACCGACCCGATGGCCTGCGAGAACCCGGACCAGGCCAGCTTCTCGGACTTCGTCCCCTCCTCGGTCCGGGCGGTGATCAGGAACTGCCCCATGGAGCTGGACGAGGAGTTTCTGACGGCCCCACCGGGGGAGAGGCCCCCATTGCCAGGCGACAAGGAAGAGGGCCAGGAATGCAGAGCCTTCCACCCGTCTGCGGTGAAGGCCTTCAAGATTCAGACCCGGCTCAACGCCACCACCATCGCCCAGGAGGAGGCCAAGAAGGCGGACCAGGTGGAAGCGGTGGAGCGCTCCGCGGCGGTCCTCCACGAACTTCAAGGGGGGGCCATTGACGGAGGAGGTGATGGAGGCCTGCTCCTGAAGAACCTGGACTTGGACCTCTTCCGTGAGAAGCTGCTGGACAAGCTGGGTGCGGACTGGGGGAGACCCACACCGGAGCTCCTCCAGGCCCAGACCACTGCGGAGGAGGCGAAAGCGAAACACCAAGCCAGACAGGCGAAGGGCTCCCTCGAAACCAGAATGCTCGAGCCCATCGCGCCTCCCTTCAGTGCGTGGCCTAGTGAGGTCCGGGTCGCCATTGAGACTGGGGTCTTCGAGCCGACAACGGCATGGAGGGACTTCAGTATGGACGACCTCACATCCCTCACGGACTCCTACCTTGAGGCCAAGGCGGTCACCTCGCTGGGTAGGAATCCCCCCCCGGCAGCCCTCCTGCCGGACCTGACAGGGATCCCCATGCCAAACGGAAAGCTCTGGTGCGGCGCGCCCAGGTGCCGAGGGCCCTGACAGGCCGCCCACCATCCCCCCAGCCTCGGGCTCTGGCGTGACGAGCTCAGGTGCCGAGGGCATGACAAGCCGTCCGCCACCCCGATGGGCCTGGACACCAAGGACCCGGAGGTGCAGCTCTCGGTCCTGTGCTGGATGATGAGCAAACGGGTCGGAGAGGTCCGTATCTTTGCGGGCCGCTGGGTCCGACGACCGGGCCCGGTACACGTCCCGGATTGGGCGAAAAACCTCACCAAGGTGAATCCGGAGGCGTTGGAGAAGGGTACGCATCCCAGGAACCACCAGGTGGGTGGACTCCCCTGGGCCAGGTACTCCGTTGATGAGTTGCACCAGCAGGCGAAGGCGGGGGACCGACCCTACCCTGGGGACCTGCGATCCATCTTTTGGGCTGCCCCCCACGATCCGGATGAGGACTTCCACTGGACGCGCCAGATCTCGTCCTGGACACTCCCAGGCCTACTGGGGATGTTCGGGCACAGCTACACCCTGCGCCAGCTCTGGGGAGTCTGGGAGTCTCTGCCACTGCTGCAGGGCCCTAGGCAGCGGGGCCCGAAAAACAAGGCCCAGAATCAGACCCGCCTGGAGGGCTGGGAGACCCTGAAGGAGGACGCGCGGTGCTTCCTGAAGGAGGAGGGCCTTCCGTTTCCGCAGACAGGACCGGAGTGGCGATTGGTCTACCGGGCCATGGGCAAGGTCCTCGCGGCCCGGGCCTTCCTCACGGACACCCCGGCGGAGGTGATGCAGCTCCCGGTCCAGGACGTGGCGGACTCCAAGGAGCAGATGATCCTGCGGGCGGTATGCGACGAGCGCATCTCGGTCCCGGTGGAGAGCCTCCAGCAGTTCCCAGAGGTGTACAAGGCCCTCATGGACCGCATTGGAGGCCCGGGGGCCCTGGCGGAGGTGAAGGTCAACTGGCGCTGCAACACGAAGCAGTGGTGGGTCGGCGCAGTCCCCGACTCAGTGGCCCCCTCCATCTACCGCAAGCTCGGCTACACCAACGACATGATCAAGCTGATGGGCCTGGACCCCTCCGCCCCTGGGTGCCGGACAGGTGCCGATGGCCCTGACATCCGCCCCAGGGGAGGCGAGGGCGATGAGGGGATCGTTTACCCCCCCATCACGGCGGACAACGTCCACGGCGTGGTGGGTAAGGACTACCGGAAGAAGAACTATCCGGTGGAGATGAAGCATGTCTTCTGGGCGCACATGGAGTGTGGCCTGGTCCTGAGCTCCGTCACCCCGTGGGAACTCATCCCGAAGACAAAAGGGGAGACCCGGGGGGGCTACATGTGCAAGTATTGTAAGGGGTACTGGCGTGCCGGGGGAGGGGGCACCCGCCTCCTCCAGATCCGGGCCGGCAAGGCCATCTTGCAGCTGGTGTTGGACGAGCCGCCGGAGGGCCTCTACAACCGCTGGGTGAAGGAGCGGCTGGAGTACTACCGCCGGGTGGAGCCCTCGGCCCCGTTGCGGGACGTCTCCATCGTGGACCAGAAGGTGCCCAGGTTCAGATTCAGCCAGACCACCCAGACAGGCCACGTCTCCAATGCCATCTGGGAGCTGATTCTGCGGAATCCGGAGGCTGCTGCGCTCAAGCGCATCGATGACATCGCGAAGGGGGCCGCGTGATGATGCGGGACAACGCCATCTTCCGGCACACCATCCAGGACCGCGGCCATCCGGAACGGATGCGCAGCGCACCCCGGGGGGGGGACAGCTGCCGAAGGCGCTGATATCCCCCCCCAGGGAACAGCGCAGGCCCAGACTTGCACCAGGCGAGGAAAATTGGCGCGGCTTGGGCTGATCCGGGGTGCGCCTTGGTTCCCCTCTCTTGTTTGGTTTTCCCTTTTCGGGGCGGCTCCCTGGGTCCCCCTTTTTCCCCCGTTTCCTCCGTTTCGGGGTTGACTTTCCGGGGTTTTGGGGGGCCCCCTGTTGTTTGGTTGGGGTTTGCACCTAGGGACTAGGCCCCCGGCTCGAGTGGATCATGATGATGTGGAGGCCCCGCCTCCCTTCCCCGTTTGGGACGACCTTCCTAGGGGCGCCAACCGCGCTCCAGTTGATTTTGCATGACCTTGGATTTGCACCAGTGCAGTCGGACGGGGAAATCCTCGTGGCGTGCTGCCTGGAATGGGTCAAAAAGGACAAGGTCGCCAACCCGGATGCGGTGGTCTTTGACCCGCGGCCGTGGACACGGATCGTGGGGCTGGCACCTGACGGCAACCACGTCCTGGTGGCCTCGGACACCTACAACTTGATCCTCGCGAGGATACTCGGCTCCCAACCACAACCGCTGGAGGAGGCGGATTTGGAGCTCGCTACTAAGACCCTGCAACAACTTCTGTTTCGTGCGGCAGGCGCCAGGCAATCGCACACCTATTCTCCACTGGAAATGGAACAGGCCATCCGGGACCGCGAAGAGTGGATCCTTTCCGGATCGATTGAGGCCCCGGATGTCCTGGCAGTGGCCAACAAGTGGCGGCATTGGAAACCAGGGAAGATCAAAACCCAATTGCCGACATCTCAGAGAGCGTTGGAACAACACTTGAGGGCCAGGTGGTTGGAACGCCTCCTGGGATACTTCATCCCCTTCCGGCACCAGATCCCCTACATGCACCAGGTGATGGGGGCCAGGGAGCTGGAGGAGTTTGGCCACCTCTTTGGTGATGCCCGGTTCCGTACCATCCGGGCACACTGCTTGGCCTATGAGGGCATGCGCAAGATCGGCTTCCAGAACCTCCCCTGGACGGCCGGCGACGTCCGGCACCTCATGAACCAGGCGGTCACGTTGGAGGTCACCCCGGCGAAG